AATCCACGAAAATCGCTAGAGCTGGTCTATTACATGCAGCTATAGTTAACCTTAAATCTTCTACTATGCCTAGAATTCTATTTTGTAATTTATGCTGGGCAGTAAATCCTGACTGTTCGTCTAAATATATACTCCATAACCATAATTCGTCGAAACTACTTTCCTAAGTTTGATAAAAGTGAAATAGAGGGTAAGTGATAAAGATATGGGGTAGATGTGATGATAGAAGAATATCAAAGTCAGCAAGATGTGTCCTCAAACCCTCACAATTTCATAAGAGAATAGTAAAGTTTTCAGAACTATTTTTAGGCCTTACTTTGCGACAGAATTTACTCAGCTCAGAGATAGAGTTTTTACTGTTCCATTCACAAAGAATAGAAATCTCCACACTTTGTGATCCACTAAATTGTTCAATTAAATCCATATTTATCACAGGCGAGCAGTATTTAAAGTCTTGGCTATTCATTAGTTGAGTTTAAGAATATATCAAACGCTTTGTTTAATGCTTCTGTCTATTTATTTAGTAGCTGTTCAAGAGACGCTTGGTGATTGGTGTAAGATTTTTGATTATCATTTAAATACGTTATTTGAACAGCGATTTGTTGTACTGTTTCATTGTATTCATTTGTATTTTAATTTTATTTAATACTGTACCCATAATTAACATCGTTTTCTGACGTGTTGCAAATAAGGTTTGATTTATTGCGTTATGCATAGTAGAGAGAATTTGCGCTTGAGTTTGCATTTGTTGTTGTATTATTAGCCATCCCTGATTTATTCCATTTAAATGCTCTTTGTATTTTTGTTCAATTTTTTGTTGTTCTTGTAGATAGTTTTGTTTTAGTGTATTTAACGCATTACTTAATGATTTTATCGTTTCATTTAGATTTTGATATGAAGGAGAAAGTGGTGCTAATGTTGTTACATTAGAATTCACAGAAGGCCAAGCGTTGTAATCATTTCTATTGTATCTTTGTTCATCTTGTCGTTGTTTTTGTTGCTGTGTTTTTTTATTATAAAGTACCTTATTTCGTTCATTTGAATTACGATATTCGGATGGAATAAATAGTTGTACATCGTC